TTGTGTGTTTAATCCTGTTCATATATCTAAAAATAAATTACTTTATTTTGGAAATAAGTTCAGGTCACAAGTTTTCATTTCTCATTCATGATCAGAGTTATTTTTATCATTGTCTGGGATTTCATAATGCAAGAGTGATGAGATATTAGTTCTGTTCGTGAATTAGAAAAAAAAATTACTAATTTTTCCCACATCGGCATGAAGGTTTTTTAAGAAATACGTCTTTGCTTGTGTGTTCAGAATCCAGTTCCAAGTACTGCAGACTTTGGTTCTGTTAACATCTGTTTACCCTGGCAAATGTGCGTTTTGGACCCGCTGAGGTCCGGTTCTGTTGGTTCTGTCTAGCCGCCGCGCAAGACAGGAGGTTCCTGCTATAGAGTGCTGCACCGTCAGACTCTAAGAAGCAGCAACCGTGTTTCGCTTGAGAAAGCGACTAATTGCATGCATAGTACTCACATCTGTGGATGAATGAGTGAAAAAGGATCCTTTGTAAATCCAGTGTGTTCTTGTTCTGTACTTTTAGAACCATAAATCTGGTCTGAGTTACGTGCGTAATTACGCATAAGTGTAACCAGTATGAACTCCGCGACTAGGCTCTAAGATCGCAACTTGGAAGCTGTCATCACGGTTTATAGAAATAAACGCAACGTGAAGGAGTTTTTAGCGCCGTTGGAGGCTATAAAACTAATGGTTTGTGCCGAGGCGTTAATTCAGACAAGAGTCTGACCACACTGAGGTCAGTCAGGGAAGCTGCTGTTTTATTCAGTCTTAAAGCTGCCGCGCGCAGAAAGTCTTGCCCTGTCTTCCGTGAATGTCACGGATTTTAGCTTATAAATCGTTCGCCCTGCTCTGGGGTGCGTGAAGCTAAATAAAGTTACGCTGGGAAGCGTAAATCGGAGTTTGAGTTCCGTAGGTGAAGCTGCTGACTTTGTGTCAGAGGGAAGCCACCATTTTGGGTCAGACGCACACGTCAGCGACGTCATACGTAACCTGAACGTGAGTTCTCCCCTGGGAGGGGGTGAAACGTCACGGGTTCTTTTCAAAGCTGTGTGTGTGTGACATAGTCGCCATCTGCTGGTTTTTCGCTGTAATTACACTCTCAAAGGGTGAAATTATTCTACTTGCTCATAAAAACGGAGAATTTAGCGAAAAATTRGGCGAAAAATAGCATTTTCTTGCTCAGAAAATTTTCTTTAATTAAAATTAAAGTTAAGAAAATAAAAAGCTGTTGTTTCC